TGTCGCGGTCAAAGCCTCTGTCCTGTGTAGAACGTATCCATGAGATTATGTTAGTTCCGTTACTTTTTTTCTTGAAGTTTGACTTAAAAAAGACTGGTTTTGAAAACACGGTGACAACTCCGACGTCGTACATGTATATGGCCGCCCCACTAGTAATGCCCAGTAATTACGACACGCTTCAGACGTCGTACTTTTTCATTGATTGTACGGTCAAAGCCTGAGATTTGACACTCACTTAAGGTAGATTAGTTTCCTTTTGTATTTCTGTGGGCACCTCGATGGAGTTTTGTCAAAGAAATGACCTTTTTTAATTTGATCATAGGCTTCAAACACGAGCCCTTCCTTTCTTTATTGTTGAGAATAAATGAACTATAACAAGCTAACCTTTATGCGCGCTGTAATCTTCCTTTTTCATTCAAAGTCAAATCGAGGCTAGCTATAACTTGGATGCGTGCATTATAAGTTTGCCATGTATCGTTGAGAATCCCTATGAAAATTGAAAAGTGAATGTTGGGGAGGAAACTGATCAGAAATGTTCGCGTTCGGGTGCTATGCACAAAGTTGTGTTTGTGTGGCCTAAGTTGCACTTGTTTGGCAGGGAAGAGGCAAAATACAGACAACCTGTCCTGGGGCAGAGTTATCTTACAGCTCGTTTGGCGCTCACGAATCACGGCGCCAGTCTTGGCAAACAGAGTACCATTGTTATCAAGTCATTCTAATTTGCATACTGACTAAAATTCGTACAACAGAAATACTCGAAACGGGATTAAAACTATTTGATTCACCGTCGTAAATTGGCTAATTACTCCGTACTGACGCCGTATGGTACGGTGATACCTGGTCAGCCATCAATCTTAAATCTGTCATAGTTAACATTTCACGTCCGTCGGTTGCACACAGGCGTCGCGTCGACAGCGTGTGGATAATCATTCAAGTCGTACGCTTGACTGCTTTGAATTAACACATTCAAACCGTCATACTTAGCATGATTAATAGCGTGGATATGTACACAATAAAAAAGCTAATCGCAACTTTGTAACAGGAATACGACAATGTTACATTTTTGTTACTTCACTTTCGCACCACACCACGTGCACGCAGCTTACTTGTACGCCCTGCACAACAGAAGAAGTGGTATACACTATTACTAATAGAAATGTGACTCACGCCACAATAAACGCTGATTGCATCAACCATACACAGTTAACCTGTACACGTGACCACCTCTACATAAGGACCACATGGCCATTGATATACAGTCAAACCTGTACTAGTGATCACCTCTACATAAGGACCACATGGCCATTGATATACAGTCAAACCTGTACTAGTGACCACCTCTACATAAGGACCACATGGCCATTGATATACAGTCAAACCTGTACTAGTGACCACCTCTACATAAGGACCACATGGCCATTGATATACAGTCAAACCTGTACTAGTGACCACCTCTACATAAAGACGACATGGCCACTGATACACAGTCAATTCTGTGCTGCTGACCACCTCCATATAAGGACCTCATAGTCATTGATATATACAGTTAACCTGTACAATTGACCAGCTCATACACAGTTTGAGTTTGGAACTGTGTGTTCCACATAGTATAGTTGCAAATGGAAGCGATACCTGTGTTTTTATTGTCAATGAGATTACGCCTTTTGCCTTCTAGGCTGTATACCAGGCTGTCATCAAGGCCAGAACATGGGTCATCTCCTGAGTTAGACCATAATCAACAGTGGATTCAATAGATACATGACGAAGTTTTCCTGTGTGCAAATTGGCCTGATTTGAACTGAATGGGGTCTGCGGTAGAATGGCCTTGGGAACTTGTTGACCCTGTAGCCGAAGAGCTAGCCTGTGTAATCTCCAAGCAGATCATACGGTGGTAAGGCAGTGCCCATTTTCCAGAGGAGTGTCCATTAGCCATTGGTGGACAATAGCCACTCCTCTGGCCATTGATTTCTGCCTTTCACTTTGCCACCGTATGATCTGCTTGGAGATTAAGCCTGTATACTACCTGACTTCGCCTCCCCCAGCTAATTGGCCAATTACGCTCTGCTCACACCACACCGCATGTGGCCAACCACAATCGTTGATTCACCGTGGCAAACTGGCTAATTACTCCGTGCTGACGCCGGGTGGCACGGAGATACCTGGACGGCCATAAATCTTAAATTTGTCAAAATTACGTCCGTCGGTTGCACACAGGCGTCGTGCCGAATGCGTGTGGATAATCGTTCAAGTCGCACGCTTGACTGCTTTGAATTAACACATTCAAACCGCCGTCAATAACATGATTGATAGCATAGAAATATGCACAGTCATTATGAAAAACTAATCTAATCACAGCTTTGTAACAAGGAATATGACATCGTAAAATTTTGTTTGCCTTGTGGGTTACACTGAGTGAGTCTACAGGTACAAATATGACTATTTCTTGTCAATGGCAAGCTTTCGTCCTGTACAACAAAATAGTTGGTATGACCTACTATCATTAGAACAGTGGCTCACACCACAACATTTGACCAATCACATCGACGTTTAAGCAAATCTATTAATAGTAAGGTATATATATGCGAGCACCCAGTTCTTCTATAAAGTTGGGGATTGGATAGTGAGCAGACACAAATCGCCTTCGCTTCACGGACATCGGTCAACATACCTGTAAGTACCTATTTTGTGTCATTTTCCATTCCATTGCAAAACAAATCTGAAAGTATTCCATTACATAAATTGAACAACTAAAAATGCTGGAAACGCTTTGTCAGATTTGCTACCTTTTAGGTGACCGATCAAGAGTTGTTACCGTATCTTTCTGGCTGTTTTTGCCTAGTCTGTGTTTTACTTTTTCATGAAACTTTACCACTGCTAATACAACCCCGGTGGTGATTTTTAACGCATTCTGCAAAAGTGTTAGCTGTTTTGTCGCTCCTTATCTATGGGAAAGAGTGTGTGTTTGTCACATCGTCCAGCCAAGTCCGAGACGTCGGGATTTCCGTCCATATGAAATCATGATTTCTTTTCAGGTTAAATTTGACATGGATGGTTTTTAAAACTCTGGTGCTTTGATGTGGTCTGCGCCCGACCAAAGCGTATGTTAACACAGCCCAGACTAGGCTATTTGCCCATACAGTATCATGACTTTAATGGTCTAGTTTCAAAGTCGCTGTGTAAAACCGGTTGAAAGCCTGAAGTTTCTAGCAAAGATCTTGATATACTTATGACATAACGTTGTACAGCTCACAAGGTTTCCGTGGCGTTTTGAAGAGGGTGTAACTGTTTTGTCTCACCCTGGGTGAAAAATGTCGATGGTATGGACATTTTGCCGCCCAACTCACTCCCCTGCTTGCCATGATGTTTCAGTTTAGTCTTTAAAATTTCTTAGTAATGATTTTAATGTCAGATTCTAATATAAAGGTTTAATACTCCCTAAATGTACTTTTAGTTTTAGAGAGCCATAGGTAGACCTATATTTGTACCGTAATTACCTCTCGCTTAAGTGCATTCTGCAATGCGGGAAGGGGCAGAAAGGGTCAAGTAAGCGACAAAAATATCTTGCACAACAAAAGACATAATTATGCGGGCAACCGGCATTATTAAACCTGTCAAAATTGACACTCCACGATCGCTGATGGCTATTGTGAAGACAAATTTTGAGGCAGTGCCAGAAATTTGCCATTTCTTTCGCAGGACGGGCACGGTAGCAGAGAAAGCACAACTTCTAACAAGTTCTGTGCAGTTTGTCTTTATCATATTTTATCAATCATGGTGTTTGCGTAGTACTGAAATACGTGTAAAATCGAGATTGTGCAGTGAACCGGAAGATCCAGCGAGGTTTTTTATTGCAATTCTTTGCAGTTTACATTTGTTTGGGAACTTTGATGGCTCTTCGTGAAAAAGACTAGCCTACAGTAATTTATTCATAGGTTTTAAATTCCAGCGCGTTAAGTACGTTTGGTGCCCGCGTGTCATGGTCCATTCTTAGCAGACAAACCACTATTGTCAACAAGGCATTCCTCACTTGCACACTCACTTCAAGGCGACAATTCGTACGATCAACATGCTCAAAACAAGAGGAATACAAGTAATCAATGTATATACATAGCGTTTGTGACATTCAGCCATCCACTGTCTGATTTCTGTTGTCGGCACGTTAAAACTTCTTCGTCAGATTGATGATCATCATTTGACGTTTTGGGTACACACAAAGGTGGAAAGGAATGTTTTTGAGCCAATGAGCGGAATTTTCATACATGTTTTAGTGCACACAAAGACAGGATGTTGTTGCATAGGGGAGTGTTTGAGTAAACGTGTACACGCGAACAAGTAGGGTTGCAGACGGATCTCAAGGTCAAGCAAAAGTTGTTGGACAAGTATCGACGCCTGCAGCTGATTGAAAACACCAATGACACTCTTAACCGCACTATTAATCATGTTCTTGCAGTGCCACCTTTGGAGACAACTAAGTAGTGCAGGGTAGCATTATCAAGACAATATATTATTGATACAAGACTGTGATAAGTACTGCGACTTTCGTAATTTAAATAGGAGGCTGTATTTACATACTCTTCTGAGTTGATTTCAGGCACGTGTGTTGGCTCTGTTACTATTCAAGCTAATTCAGTTGTGAGGTTGACACTTTTACAATTAGACACATTGATAAAAGTTTAACAGGGCAGTTTGAAAAATTGAAATTTGACCACGAGGTTAGTTTTTCAGGAACTGAAAGTTGCAGATAGTATTTTCTTGCCAATGATTATGTGACTCAGTTACAACTATCCCTATCAAGTAACTGCCAGGCAATCTCTATCACACTACCAGGCAAACCTTCGCAGGACATTTTTGTCATTACAGATTATTTTATATTATGGGTTAGGTCACTAACTTCTTTATGTACAACTGTATATAAATTCCTTATCTGTTGTCAATATGTTTCAAACCCAAAGTGTCTTATATTATTGCCGATGTGTGTCTAGATGGTGCACGCTGACACGATGGCGGCCCTGTGTACATCAGGGTTTAGCAGGTGGATGGTTCTGGTGCTGATAGCTACGACGGCAAAGGAGGTGGCTGGAAAAGGTACACTTTAAGTTACTTCCTATAAGTAGTGCGGATAAAATGTATTGATTTTTTTCGTCCGTACCATGGGTATGCTGTTTTCTCACGTGTTTCTCCTACTCCTCCCATTTCGTCTAACGGCTCTCACTAACGCCACCAAACTAGGTGACTTTTCTTAGAATATTGTTGGCAACATTTTCATATCAGTGTGATAAGTTAATAGTATTTCGTGTTGCCATGGCAACGGGTTTCTGACAGGCATTTTTTGGCAAAAATTTAGTATTTTTTGAAGAAATAATAACCTTTTTAGGCTTTTATGTTAGGTTGCACATGCTTTATAACATAAATAACATCTTATGTAATTTTATGTAACTTCTATAAATACATAATGCATAATTTATGCATAATGTGTGCATAATCTATGCAAAATCTATACATAATTTGATGACTCATTGGTCAAAATCCAAGATGGTGGACCATATCATTAATTCTCGTACATTCCGGCTATTTTCCTGAAAATGTCATCACAACTTCAATATTTTACATTAAAGGTTGATTTGAACTTTTAGTCTATCCCTACAATATTTTAGGCTTTGTCTTGAAAAATAAGTATTTTCAAGATTGACGATTCAAGATGGCGGATAGTTTAAATATGCTTGACATCATTTTATGACATAACTGTGATGCCATAAAATGATGTCATAGAATAAGGAGAATCATAAATTGTATCTATTTTTGAAGGTAAAGGGGATCCGGCGCACGGATCTGGTCGGGTGGCGATGGATAACATCATTGAAATAAACAAAGGTAAGAACTTCATGTTTAACTTATGTCTACTAAACATATATATAGTCCTTCCTTAGTCACATCAAGGGCGTGAATTACTGCTACTAGTATTTGAAATTGCTTAATTTTATCTTTCTCTGGTTCACCCATAAATCATGTGTTGATGATACTAATCACGACTTTTTTTCCACAGGTCTCCATCTGTTTGAGGCAGACATTAAGTACCACGGACCGCCGGTATGCATTACATGTACTTTCATACAGAGTTTTGCCTCAGAAACAAACAAAATCAAACATGAAAAACTTGAAAGTGTATGCAGTAAATAATAACCATGTATTCTTCTAATACTAAGAGTAAACTTTGTATGTAATTAACTCCCCATTATTGGAGTGTTTTGTGTAATGTATGTATTAATGGAAATCTGTATGTCTGATTTTGTTTAGTCGAGTCAGACGTAACAATCATTTTCACCCTCTCATTTTAGAACTCTCGTAATGCCCTCAAAGACCCAGCCCTGTTGTGGGATTATAAGGAGATCCCATACGTCATCAGGCAGGGTGATTACTGTAAGTCCATGTTGTGTTCTCAGTACAAGGCCACATGGGATACTGAAGTAACGCTCACAGAAGCAACATTTCTTCTCCCTGAGTCAGAAACATTAGCTTGGGAAAGTTTGGCCAACTGACATGTAGTTACTTTTATTTTGTAGGGGTGGCATAGATAACACAACAGGCAAATACTTGAATATATCCTTTGTATAACTAGTTGTTGAAACATAAAAATGCATTTTTGATTGTCCAGCTGCATCTGAGGTGTCACTTATCCGAAGTGCCATGGAAGAGTTCCATCAACATACGTGTGTACGATTCGTACAGAGAAATAGCGAGAAGGACTACCTACATATCCAACGACTAAAGGGGTAAGATTCAACTACTCGGCTGCAAGCAATGTCCAAAAATCAACTTTAAACATGCGTGGATAAATTTTGACCATCCATCCATGACATAAACCGATTTATACCCCTCTTAGATCTACAGTCAGCCCACCATAGCCAAACCGAATGCATGGCATAACCTTCTGCCGAAGTTAAAGATGTTCTATGCTTTGTAGATGCTGGTCATTTATTGGTCAGAGGCATGAAGGTGCTCAGAACGTGAGTATCGGTAAAAACGAGAGTCTCCGTACAACCTGTGTGCAGAATGGAGTCATCGTTCACGAACTGATGCACGCTGTGGGCTTCTGGCACGAACATTCACGGCCGGACAGGGACACCTGGGTCGAAATTCTTTGGAATAACATCATAAAGGGTGAGTCTACTCTACTCACAATTTTTCTTCGTCGTAAAGAGTTTTATTGGAGGTGCTCTTAGCTTTTAAAGGTTACAGATTTGATCAGTCCCTGATGTTTCATCGGCTAATATTAGTAGTAATTTAGAAATGTACTAACTAGGCAATTGGCTTTGTACCTTCGAGGTTCAGAAATGGGGTTTCCGTGTGAGAGAGGTAGTTGAAAATTAGTCCTTTTGTAGAATAATTCGCTTTTTGGCGACGCCTCCGGGGCAAGCCTAATATTAATTATGTGCCCACTTCAAGAATTTTAGCTATAACACATTAATTTCTGTAATGTCCGTGCATGTGGAGATAACAATTGTCTGTCGACAACAGAGGGAAAAAATCTTACTAAACAAGCATCCAGACATCGACAAGAACCAGAACCATATCACATGGCAAATTAATCAGCAGATAAATAGCCTAAATAGCAAACTAGAAACCGTCGCCATGGCAATCATATTTATTGCAAACCTTGTTTTATTTATTTTCTGGCAGACGAAAAGCACAACTTTAACAAGCGCACGGAGGACGAGAGCAGTACACTTGATCTGCCGTATGACTATGGTTCCGTCATGCACTACGGCAACACGTTATTTAGCGTTAACGGGCAGCCAACTATCAGGGCGCTTTTCCCATTCACCGGCACTATGGGACAGAGAGACGGCATGAGTGCAGGAGACATCGAGAAGATCAACACGCTCTATAATTGTGGTGAGTGTTGCAAATATTTGCAGCGCCGTGCTTGCAATATGAGTAAACAACTGATATTGACGTAATGTAGGTATTGACGAAATAAAGTACCCTACATTTTTATTAAGACAAGGTGAACATTGTGAAGTATTTTAGTATCTAAGTGAAACAAACCGGGAAGTTTATTTTCCCACATTTCCAGACACCCAGAAGTGGAGGACCGATGGCCGCTGTGGCTCTCTCTTCCCAGCTCCAGGAGCGACACCTGGCGAGTGTAACCCGCACGGCCAGTTCCCGTGCTGCTCTGCAAATGGATATTGTGGATCTGGGACAGACTTTTGCGACTGCCCAGGGTGTGTTGACTTCACCAGCGAACTTGGTGAGTTTATGTTAACTCCTTGAGCTACATTATGAGCTCTGAAGTTCTTGGCCTTTTTTCATGGAAATTTATCAACATGTTGCCTCACTCATTTTCTTCACTTCTCACATGTGTAACTGTCTGTCCATGTCAGGATGCCCTACGGTTGTCCTGTACGGCTCCCACACGGTACAGAGCTCTAGGATGACGTCCTACACCATGACGGGAGACACTCACGAGGGCCGACCCGTGTATTACAGCAGTGTCGTCTGCAACTACCTGTATTACACGGGCGACAGTATCCTTGAGTGGAGGGTGGGGTCGCAGGTTGGGAACAGGGACGTGCGCGTCAGAGACTCCCACCTGTACGCTGACGAGATCACCGGGACATTTCTTCTGTGGAACGGCCAGGAGTGGGTAGAGAACCCGGATGTAAAGATCGCCTGCTCTGGTTGGTAGGACCTACCATATTTGGGGATCATATGTAGAATATATCCGTCAACGTTTCATTTACATTTTTAACATAATTTTGTATCACATGTTTGTTTGTTTGTTTGTTTTTATTTATTTAACCAGGGGGATAACATGTATACACGGAGCTAGATTTAAAAGCTATTTCAATTTACATTTGTACATCGTTTGCAAGACCATGTTGATTTGATTATATGAATGACACCCTCTGCAAACCCCAAAACTCAATGCGAGCGTGCAAGAGAAAGTTTAGCAAAAAAAGTGTTGCCTTCATTATGAAATCGACGTGGTCATTAAGGCTGTACAAATGATTAACACAAAGGGAATTATACACTCTTTTTTCATTTCTTCACCTTTTCTTCTTTTCCTGTTGGAATTGATTTTGGCGTTCTATAACATAAGTGTCGTGTTCCAACATTTTTGTTTTGCAATTTACGACAGATATTTGCTCCCTTGCAGCTGCTTTGTACAATTTAAAGCATGACTAAAAAACTTTCTTTTTTCTTTGGACGAAAATTCATGCGCGCGGGGATGTCATCCATATCAATCAAATAAACATAGCCTAACCTAGCCGAAAGATTTCCAATTTCTTTTCCTTTCCAATCCTGGTGCCCCTGGAATCTTTTTCCAACCTCCCACTTACGCTTGCGAAAATTTTTTATTCAAAGTCTTCGTTTTTATTTTCGTTCGTTTCAGATGACGTCCCAGCTGGCGTTGTAGTTCCACAATCGGTAGGATGTGCTACAATCTGTACAAGGGTCAGTCTGCAAGGCGATGCCAACGTCCGACATCCCAGCATAACGACCTACACCAGAACAGACCAGACCAGTGGCGGCAGACCTGTCTACGTTAGTGACACAGACAGCCAGTTCTTTCTCTTCTTCGTCGAAGACTACAAGCTGTGGCTCGTAGGTCCCACGATCGGACGCGACTTCGGCAACGCTCATGTCAAGGACTCCGCCACGACGCCTGACCAGATTAGGTCCCAGTGGCAGCTGTGGGACGACAGTCAGTGGCAATTCATTCCGTCAGTTCATGCAAGCTGTGTCAGTAAGTAATTACCTTCGTAAGAAGGTTTTGTGTTTACGTAAACCATACATAGGGGATTGCTGATTTTGTAATCGGGTATAACTTGGGATGTAGTAATATCTTTATGATATTTGGTAGGTAGCATGAGGTTGGTAAAAGGAAGGTCATTGTCAATTTGGGTTTACTCTAGCGGTTTTGTAAGGTACTGCAGTGGGGTACATGTGTATGATATCTCGTGCTGTGAACATGCTATGGTCTTGATTTTTGAGTGGGACATAGATGTTTTGGGCAGTAAGTAAGTATCTGGTATGGTTTTCATCGAAAAATTACCAGACGGGATAACCTTTATGGTTGTGGATGTTATTTAACATTTTTGTCTAGGAAGTTTGTAGTGTGGAAAAAGAAGGTTAGGTTCAAATTTGAGCATTCCAGTGGCTTCCTAAGGTTTTGAAGTGGCCCTTTTAAGTTCGATATGTAGTTTCGAATGTAGATCAAGGTGCATGAGGTAGTGGAGGTATTTTAAACAGATGTTCTTTTGGTTTTGGCGTGGTAATATATCTTGTAGAGTCAGAATAAAGTGTCTAGTATGATTTTAACGATGTCCAAGATAGGGCCGTTTGGAAATCGTTAAGGAATCTCTCAGAGGGCACATAAAAAGAATAAGGAAGCGGCCCACATCCATTTGACCCCCCCCCCCCATCAGAACTCGAGTGTACTAGTAAAATTTATCATATCTACAATTTTTATGCCGTTATGACGTAATATGTCATTAATGTGATTTTATTGGCCAAAACCGTCTAGATAGGTTATTCCCTAAACTAAATGGTATACAACATAACTTTACCAAAAGTGTTTATGAGAGAATATTAGGGTGTATTAAGTCTTATGTTGCCCATACAAACACCGGTGCATGCATATTTAAGTTTTCCGCCATTTTGGATCATCATTCTTGAATTTTCAAAAATAGTTTTTATTTCAGGATAAAGCATAAAATACATTGTAAACAGACTAAAGACGTTCATATGAACCTTTTTAGTAAAAAGAAATGGAAGTTTTGATGAAATTTTAAGGAAAATAACATGTATATACCTGTTCTAATGATATCTCCGTCATCTTGAATTTTAGCCAATGACGTCATCAAATTAGCATAAATTATACATTTTAATTGTAAAATTTACATAAAATTATCTGGGATGTTTTTAATGTTAGACACCAAATTCAACAAAAATTTCCACATTCTGCAATACTGCAGAACAATGAAAGAAGTATTTCTACCACTGGTAACGTATAAACCTAGAACGTGATGGTACCGCCGTATAGATCCCGAACCGTTTTACGTACTACATTATTTTTACCATAACGTATCAGCACGTAACGTATGAATAAAACGTACCTCCAGTCTTTGTCGAGGAATGAACAATCCACCTCTTCTATCACAAATTTCTACTTGAATAAAGTAGAAATCTCCAAACCTGTTAATTCGTAAACATGCACGTCGTCAGATTATTTTGTACAACTCGCATGACTATCATACATCTCGTGCACACCTAGGGTACGAAAATTCTAAAGCGATGTTAATAATGACTATGTAGTTTCTGTCGCTATAACCGCAGTTGACGGTGGTTGGTCCGACTGGCGGTGGTTGGTCCGACTGTTTTTTCCACTATACAGAAATACAACCAGCGATGTCTATAGAACTCCTTTAAAATTTCGAAGGTTCTTTTTTTCCTGAATACCTTCAATCTTATTCTGTCTCCTTACAGTTGACGGTGGTTGGTCCGACTGGGGCCCATGGTCTAGCTGCAGCGTGACGTGTGGAGTCGGGACGGAGACTCGGGACAGAACCTGCATCAACCCTGCACCATCGAACGGTGGGGCAGACTGTGACGGACCTGCTCAGGAGACACAACAATGCCCAATTGTGGCGCCTTGTCCAGGTACCTCTAGACTATAATATCGATACAGATGTATCCTGTAACTCATTAACTTTCAGATAACTTATGGTACATTCCTATGTGTCAAGGAAAAGGTTGACAATGTTTTAAGTTTAGAACACAGTATGAGTTGTCCCGGTCAAGCGTCACGTATTTCATTTCACATGCGAATTGATGTCGTGAATTGACCAAAACATTCACGTATCTACTAGTACTTCGTATCCACAGTGTTGACACAGATATACTGCTATAGACGTTTGGTTCGCCGAATTAGTTATGTCCATTTTCGGGATTCTGTAAGACTGTTTTACTTTGAAGGCCAATAAAGCAGTCATACCATATGAAATAATTTATGTTCGTCCCAGTCTGTCAGGATCCGCTTGGGGTGGAGTCTGGTGCCATACCTGATGCCAGCATCACTGCATCCAGTAACGCCATTTTTCGACCGTCCTACTACGGGCGTCTGAGACAACTTGTGGTTGGGTGGGGCGGCTGGTCACCAACGTTCTACAACATCGGACAATGGTTGCAGGTACAAGCTGGTTTGAAGTTGATTATTTCTTGATCGATTTATGGGCAATTAGATTAATCGCAACACTCAAGTTAGTGCCACCCTCTTGTCACGGGGCGGTTCACAGGCTACCGATACACAGATTGTCTTTGGGGACACAGATGTCTCTTGTTGCTAGGGTCGGTCTCCTGGACTTCTATCTTTAGATTGTAGATTACTACCAGATGTACCAGGGGGGTTATAAGACGGCTTACACCGTGGGAGAGGGGAGATGACCAGAAGACACTGTCAGGGAAGGTCGTGTTGTGCCGCAATAAAGGATATCTTATACAACTTTCTCGACTCAGCATCGTCACTTTTAATACCCCGATGTGACATTTTGGTAGTACGGCTGGGGTGGACCAACTGATCCTGTACGTGACGAGCATCTTCATCTGCGGACAGGCGGACAGAACACTGGAGCAATGTAGGAAGAAGAAGAAGCTACAGCTCTGAGGAAAGGAGTCGACGTGGCAGAAGGGAGAAGAGCGGGGCCACGTGGACGGGTGCGCGCCGGAGGCGAGCCGGGGGGCGGGCGCCGGAGGTAGGTGGGACTGCACTACCATCCATTGGCACACTATAGGCACCGGTCTTGCATATTGTTTTTAGTCTTTAAAGATGTCGAGATAGCTCTTGTAGTTCTGTCATCATTTCTGTAATTTAGTGTGGTCAGAAGGAGGAAGATGTTTGTGTGTTGTCATGCTCGGAGCGGTGGCTGCCCAGTGGGCGGATGTGGAGGAAAGCCGCGGGACGGGGAGCCACGTGTACGGTTTGGTGTGCTCCCGGGGCCGGCCAGGCTGGCATAGAGGAAGATCTTTGCCCGTGTTAAATGTTTTTATAGAGTAGAGTAGAGTAGAGTAGAGTAGAGTAGAGTAGAGTAGAGTAGAGTAGAGTAGAGTAGAGTAGAGTAGAGTAGCGTTGAACAGTGCACTTTTTGTCGGGAAGACATCTGTCCAGTAGGAACCGTTCCTGTTCGTTCTTCTTTCCGAAGGCTATCCAACTTTCACGGTTGGCTTGTGGGGATGAGTGAGTGTTTTTAAGAGTTTTGACTGGGTGTCTCCCCAGGTGTCCGTCAAACCTAGCTGTGACATTATTCAGGATAGTTTAGTTTGGCTGTGTAACATGTTTTATAATACTAGTATACCGCTACTAGCGTATAGATTGATAACTGAGAGCGCAGGCCAGTAGGGGGGGGGGGAGCTGAGGTTGTAGTGTGCCTGGGAAAGCCAGACATCGGGCGGTCATTGCCGGGTAGCGGGAATGGCCGGGCACATGAAAGCCGTCAGCTGGTAGGACAGATGGGTGTTACTCCCGGGGTTAGTATGATGACGATGACGTTCACGTGAGATAAGGTGTTGCGGGGTTCCGCTGAGTCGTAGTCGTAGACTATTAAGTTCTTGTAGTAGTAAATTATAGTTCACTGTAGCGAGCTGTTATTGTAGGCCAGAGTTGAGTTAACAGTCAGTTCATAAGTTTGCCATCTGAGTTCAGTAGTGTCTGTGAGTTGCGTTGACGAGAATGCCGGTACTGTAGTGTGTGTGCCAGTGGTTGTATGTGTTGTCCTACCCCACCCCAACCCCCGCAGGTGTGCTCCACAGGATCATGGACAGAGTTCCGGGCGCTGTGGTCCCGTGAAACGTCTAGAGACGGCGGGAGAGCGCAAGCCGGGCACCGAGGGGGAGAGTGGAGAGGCGGCACGTGGCAGCCAATCGTTGGCCGCAAGTTGAGCTGAGGAGTTAGAGAGAGAGAGAGAGAGGGAGAGAAAAAGAGAGGGAGAGAGAGATGGAGAGAGGAGATGTGAGGTCGTCAGAGGTTGCTATGTGTTGCCCTAATCCATCCTACCCGCAGGCGGACTCTACAGCCTCAGCAGGTCTACAATGCCCCGACGGACCGATCCAGCAGCGATCAGGAAAGCATCTCGCTGGGAGGGCAGAGTTACCAGCTGTTCCTGTGGTCCCAAATCTAGGGAGTACGCGAGCCAGCCGCCGAGGACGGAGGGAGCCAAGAGCGGGAACCAAGCGTGGAGGCGACGGGAGAACCTGGGGAGAACTTTGTGATTCGTGCGGCGAGTGAGAGGAGAGCTGAGGAGAGCAGCGGGTGGCGGACTCACATTGGGGTAAAGTCGGTGCTGAGTCGAGAAAGTTGTATAAGATATCCTTTATTGCGGCACAACACGACCTTCCCTGACAGTGTCTTCTGGTCATCTCCCCTCTCCCACGGTGTAAGCCGTCTTATAACCCCCCTGGTACATCTGGTAGTAATCTACAATCTAAAGATAGAAGTCCAGGAGACCGACCCTAGCAACAAGGGACATCTGTGTCCCCAAAGACAATCTGTGTATCGGTAGCCTGTGAACCGCCCCGTGACACTCTCACTTTCTTACTAAATATTGTAGCTCACAGATCCCTATAGCTAGGGCAACAACATGTCTCTCATCACAATGCTTCCACTTTTAATGCTAGTCTGGTACCAGTGCCTTTTGAAATAATATAATCCATTGCGTGTTTGAACGGCATACCCAAGAGCAGATGCACTAAGTCGTGTTCTTGTTCTATGGAAAGTATTATTCTAAAGCCTAGAAAGTGACTGTTTTGGCAACTTGACACTGATCTTACACTTCTCTTGTTAAAATTAACCAAATGCCGTATTTTCTTGATGACTACTGACAATTTGCTTTTGCATGGGATGATAAGTATTTTTCGTCGAGTGTTGTTATACACTTTGTCACAATATGAGAAACGCTAAATCAATTCTGTCTTTTAGGTGGATTTAGGGGAGATAAAACGCGTCACCGGCATCGTTACTCAGGGTGCCTATTGGTCTACGACGCCCAATCTACACCCGTGGGTGACGTCGTACAAACTGGAGTACAGTGGGGATGGGACATTTTGGACGATATACGCCGACAGCGATGGCTCAGATAAGGTAACTTAGATACTTAAATATCAGCAAAAAAGCCAATACAGTCAATATCTGCCGCACTCTTGCCCCACCTCTCGCCTACCAATATTGCAATAGATTTTTCCAGAAAAATTCTCTCCTGCAAATTTCTTTGTTCGCCTAAGCTTTGCTAGGCTTATTTGAGTCAGTACTGTTTATATTTGACGGAATATATGAAGGTATGGAGACGGTTGAATCGTTGGTAAGTATAGAAGATATACAATCGATTGAATCACACTACAGTATCTAGTAAATTATCCGTTTACGTTCCAGGTTTTTGCAGGCAACACGGACGAGAACACGATTAAAAAGAACCTACTGGACAACCCAATCGATGCCCGTTATGTGCGCTTCTACCCTCAGTTCTGGAACAATGACATTGCAATGAGGGTGGAGATTCTGGGCTGCAGCACCCAGTGTAAGTTTCTTATTTGTTATTTTAATGGTTACAATGTAGTCTACTATAAGTGATAAGTTATCATCTTTAATCATTATACCATTCATTTTTACAGTGCTCTGGGGGCTCAGCCTCCTTGAAGCCGGACCGACTCATCTCACTGTTTCCTGGACAGTCGTGGGGAATCTTCCCATCGGGCACTACACGCTCAGCTACCAGCCGGCAGACGGGTCGGCCTTGCCCCAGGACATCAACCCCCTTTGGTCCGTTACCTCGGCAACCGTGTCAGGACTGCAGGCCCACACGGAATACACCCTCACGCTGACTTCGTCTGACTGGAGCTATCGGCAAAATGGAGAAATCACCGGGAATTTCAAGACAGGTAAGTAGAGGGAATGATAAACACTGGACCAATAACCCACGGCTTTGTGCTACATTGATTCCAAAACTTCAGCCTAAACAATACGCTATAGTAGTAAGCAATCCTTATTCTGGATAAGAAAGTGAGGGGTTCGAATCTCGAATCTTCCATTTTCCTAGTAGCTAGGCTTGCAGTTTAAAGTTGGGTACGGCTCAAGCGTATTGAACAATAAATATACTCTAAAACTATCACGTTTGTGTTAAAGCGTTACCCGAGAAACCAATTGTCGTACATCGCTGTACATGATGTTTTGTATTGAATATTTCTTTGGGTGAATGATGTGACATCCCGACACGACCTGTTCTTCTTAACAGCTGTGCTGCTTTTCGGTAAATATACTAAATACAATTAAAAGTTCCGCCTCAGGATTTACGACATCAAAACTAACTGGAACTTCTTTTTCTCTCAGTCTGTCAGTTTCCGCTTGGGATGGAATCTTACGCCATACCAGACAGCAGCATCACCGCATCCGGAATCCAGAGCCCTTCCCGTTATCAGCCCTACTTCGCAAGGTTAAGAGGAGTACTTGGTTTTGGTGGCTGGGCACCAGCGATCAACGACGTCGGGCAGTGGTTGCAGGTAGGTATACATTTTATATTATTGAAAAATCTTATTGCACACTTATTTAAAAGGATCATTTTACTTCATCTTAACTTCATGGGAGGCAACTGCATCCCTAGCAATTCCGTATTCTGAAAAATGAGATGCTGCACTTGGTTGTTTATCTAAACCAAATGCCGTATTTTATAAATCTTTTAAGATTTAAAACAGTACCCAGCCTGTTGCTTTTGCGCGGTTTCAACTGTTATAAGCTAGATCTGCTCTTGTGTATTTTGTTACAATATAAAGATACTCAAAACAAATATACATTTTAGGTGGATTTAGGAGAGATGAAGTACATCACGGGCATCGTTACACAGGGTGGCTGGTGGGCTAGATATCACCGGTGGGTGACGAAGTACAAACTCCAGTACAGTACAGATGGAACAGTTTGGACGACATATACGGACGGCGGCTCAGATAAGGTATCTTAAGTACATGAATATACAAAAACAAAGCTCTTTATTCTGTCCTGAAATATTTATAGATATCTGCGACATATTGCCCTCGAAATATCACATTGCGACAGCTCTCATGGGGGCCCTCTCCTCCGCTGTTCCTTTTCGTTTGCTTTAGACAATGCCTGGGTGTCAGACACCTTTGGATTTAGAGGTTAGGTTTTGTTAAATGGATGCTTATTTATCTTTGATAGAATGTCAAAAGTATTCTGAAGATTAGTGGCTTGTTCATAAATCAATAGATCTACAAACAATAATAATGCTTTCATTTGATTTACATGGACCCGTTCGCTTTCCAGGTTTTCCTTGGCAACACTGACAACAAAACACCTGTGACGCACCTACTGGACAGCCCCGTTGATGCCCGTTATGTGCGCTTCTACCCTCAGGAGTGGAATGATTGGATCGTCATGAGGGTTGAGATTCTTGGCTGCAGTAAGTTCCTGTTCTTTCATTGGTAGGGTCTTGTTCAAAGGCAATGTTTTATGATTGTTGATCAATATATCATACTGTTATTTCTTACTTACTTCATCCCAGCTGCAGAGTTTTGTAAATATCATAAAATTTACTAAGAATTGTTGAAGCGCAGCGGATGTAGTCATCACAATAATATATATAATGTGACCTCACTACGCGTATA